TACACCTTCCACATTTAAAAGAAAACCAAAGTGTAACAAAAATTTCACCCTCTGAGACAGCACCAAGATTCATTTTTGAACCTGAGCTATCTGCTCTTGCCGCGCCTTGCCCTCTTGCAGTCCTCGCCACCCTCTGCTCCTTACACCAACGCAGCATGGCACAGAACCAAGAAGTGTTGTGCTGTCATTGCGAGCGTGCATTTCCTAATCGTCTGGCACGAGAGCAACACGTTTCTCGGGTACGTTGTTCCTGAGGTCGCTTTATCACGTCGCCAAAAAAAAAGCACACACAGACAGAAAAACACACAAAAAAAATGCGACACGTCTCACTGTTCGGCACATAGGTCCATCAAAAAAGCACGCGAATCACATTAAACGGACAAGTGATTATCCAACACCGAAACGAGGACGGGTACTTTCATTGCCCTGTCGACGGATGCCTCTACCACCATCAACGCGCAAACACCCTCAAGTCTCATCTCCGGCACAACCATGAGAACATGCCGACTTCAGTACCGGCTGCGCCTGCCGCCTGCCCTCCTAATCGTCAAAAACCTGCTCGGACGCGCACGAAAAAACGTGTGGTCAAGCTTGATGAACAGCACGGCATTGCCGCGGCGCGAATTTTCATGGACGAGATTGGGTGCCTTGTATCCCCCGTCTTTGAGTCTCCAGTGTGCACGCAGTGCGGTCATGTCCTGAGAGGCAGGGTGACGCATCATCTGTTCAAAAAGCACCATGTGCGGTGCAGCCAAGAAGATATTGATGCAGCCATGGCACTCCTGCGCCCGCTGCAGCCCGAGGAGCCACCGATCGACCTTGGGGCAGAATCTGAGCCTCGTATGCCCATTGAAGGCATCCCCATTCTGGACGGTGTGGGGTGCCCCCTGTGTCAGGCATGCTTCACGACAAAAGGCAGTCTGTGGAATCACATCGTAGCTGAGCATCCCGACGAACCAGAGGCCAAGCAGCCGCCTCGACGAGTCAAGCTGCAAAAGCCGCTGCGCGGTGCTGGAGCCCGCTGTGTCGAGGTCATTGTCGAAGAAAGCCACGACGCCTCGGCAGCCGACGTCAGCGAGAACGAAGAGGAGCTCGAGGAGCAGCAGCGGTTCAAGCAGTTTATCTCAAGCACCCAGGCCATGGCCTCAGAGGCTGAGGATAAGCGATGCCCGCACGGCGTTCACCAGATGCATCCGTTCTACGACAGCGTGGGCATGACGCTGGTCATCAACGAGCTGAAGCCAGAGCGTATGGTCGAACTGGGCCACAACACACCGTCGGCACTCCTCGAGTCGGGCATGCATGAGCTATTCTGGACGGCCTACGAGCAGCTATCGGATCAGGGCCTGGCCGCCGCTGCGGTGACGCGTCTGTTTGACGACAATGAAGGGCAGTATCGGCATCGCCCCATGCGGCAAGTACAGCCGCAAACCGTCAGCAGGTACCTGAGTCTTGGGACACGCCTGGTCCAATTTTTGCTGCTGCTGGAGGCCATGCCAGCCCCCGATCCGTCCAGCTTTCTGGGCCAGGTGCTTGCCAGCCGCG